TGTTAATTAAAACTCATTAAGGAAAAAAAAAACATGTCCAAAACAAAATTAAAATGATACGCTGGACAATCAACTCATCATTTAAAAAGCAGTAAAAAAAAAAAAAAAGAATGGAAAAACACAAAAACATAGCCATAGAAAATAACTAGCAAAATATCATAAGTCCTTTTCAATCAGTGTTATTTTAAATGCAAATATTGCAAAAACGGACTGAAAAGGATGTGGTAGAACACAGCAACTCAGGAGGCTTAGGAAGGAGTGCAAGCTTGAGAACAGCCTCATCAACTGAGCAGTGCTCTTTCTTGCAAGTAACTAAACAAGGATTGGGGATGTCACTCGGTGGTAGAGCACCCCTGGACTTAATCTAGCACTACATAAAAAAAAAAAAATCCAGGTGTGCACAAGAGATTCACTTTAGATTTAAAAACAAAAATTGGTTGAGAATGAAAGCACTACACAAAAACAACCACCATAAGGCAGCTGGAATGACTTTGTGAATACCAGAAAATATAGACTCTGTGGATAGAGAGAAAAAAAAAAAAGCTGTTGAAGAAAAGAGAAAGGCCATTATGCGTTAGCAAAAGTTGTAAATATTTATACATCTAACCAGAGTCCCAAAATGTAAGAATGAAAATTATCAGAATTAAAGGAAAAAAGAGTTATCAAAATGGTTGAATACCATAATACCCCACTTTCAACAAGGCATAGAATGTACAGGGAAAAAAAGATAGATTTTTAAAAGAAGGACAGAAGAATATAAACCAAATAGAACTGAGGGACTGTATAGAGGACTGTCCAATAAGGCAGAGTGCACAAGAACTTGTAATTGCTCCTGGAACACTGTCCAGGAGAGACCATATTGGGCCTCAGAACACTTTAAATGACAATAAACGTAAAAAGACTAAGATCAGACTACGTGTCTTTTATGATCATAATAAATGAAGCTAGCAAAAAATAATAAAAGGAAAACTAAAAAATTAACAAATATGTAGAAAATAAATAGCATAAAAAAATAAAAAGTAAAATTAGAAAATACTTTAAGCTGAATGAAAAAGATAATACAACATTGCCAAAACATATGAGGTGAGAAAAAAAACAATTATCAGAGGGAATTTACAGCTATAACCCTGTTATAAAATATAAATGAATAACCTATATTTTACACTTTAAGAAGAAAAGGCAAATTAAGCTAAATCCAAAGCTAGCTGAAGGTGAATATAATGAAGACCTGAGCAGAAATAAAAAAGAAAAACTAGAATAGAAACTAGAGGAGCAGAGGTTGTGGCTCAGTGGTAGAGCACTCGCCTTGCATGTGCGAGACCCTGAGTTTGATCCTCAGCACCACATAAAAATAAATAAGTGAAATGAAGGTATCATGACCAACTAAAAATAAATATTAAAAAAAGAAAGTAGAATGAAAAAAAATGGCTACTTGTAAAGATGGATAAAATTGAAAGCATAAGAGAAAACACTCAAATTATCAAAATCAAACTGGGGACAGACATCAATACTGAATTCACAGAAAAAAAAAAAAGATAATTTAAAAAGAATACCATGAACAACCATATGTCAATAGATAACCTAGATGACATGGACAAATTTTTTAAACTAAAACTGACTCAAAGGATTGGAATTGTGGCTCAGTGGTAGAGGGTTTGCCTGGCATGCATGAGGCCCCGGGTTCAATCCTAAGCACTGCACATGAATAAATAAAGATCTATTGACAACTAAAATATATTCTTTTAAAAAGTGACTCAAAAAAAGAATAGGGGGCTGGGGTTGTGGCTCAGTGGTAGAGCACTCGCCTAGCATCTATGAGGCCCTGGGTTTGATCCTCAGCACCACATAAAGATAAATAAATAAAGGTATTGTGTATATCTGCAATATTAAAAAAAGAATTAAAAATCTAAATATACCCATAATAAGAGACTGAATCAGTAATCAAAGAAAAATAAATAACATCTAGGTAAGAAATGAAATTAAACTATGTTAGCAGATTAAATGACTTTGTGAATAGAAAACCATCAGGAATCTACAAAAGAACTAACAGCATACAGAAGTGCAGGATCTAAGATGAATACACAAAAAATAAATTCAATTTCAGTAAATTATGATAGAATCAAATAATTAAATAGTAATAACTTTATTAAAAAATGAAAAACTTGCAAGTCTCTGGACATTAAAAATCCCACTGAAAAATTGATAAAAGAAATGTTAATAGAAAGGCATCCCATATTTATAGAAGACTTAAGGTTAAAATGGCAAATATCAATTAGATGCACATATTGAGGAAAACCCATCAAAATTTCCACCTGCTATTTTTGCAGAATTTTAAATGTGATCCACTGATTAATACTGATGTAAAAGGGAATTGTGTACACAAAATACTCAAAAAAGTACAAAATTGAAAGACTGTACTTACAATTCCAATTCTTAATATATATATCTTCAGTATTGCTCAAACTGGATATTCATCTCTCACTCTATAAAATCATCTCAAAATGAATAAAGACCTTTCTAGGGGGGATTGAACCCTGGGCACTTGACCACTGAGCCACATCTCTACCCTTTTTAATAAACTGGTCTTGCTGAGTTGCTTAGGGCCTAAATTGCTGAGATTAGCTTGAAGTTCCCACTCCTGTAGCCTAAGCCTCCAGTCACTGGAATTACAAGCATGCATCACCGATATATTACCTCAAAGACAGAAACTATAAGGATAAAACATAGGGTAACACTTAAGACTTACAGCGTAAAAAGGTTTTTATATAACCATAAAAGCACAAAAGACAAACACAAAAATAAACAAATGGGATTACAAACCAAAAGAGCTACGCACAACAAAGCAAACAACTAAAGAAGTGGAGAGAGGACTAACAAATGGGAGGAAATCTTTGACAGCCATTCATGCAATGCATGAGTAATATGCAGTAATTTAAAAAAAAAAAATCTAAAACTGGAACAATAACATGTAATCCAGAGGTGGGAGTTGTGGGTCAGTCGTAGGGCACTCACCATGCACATGCGAGGCCCTGGGTTCAATCCTCAGAACCACATAAATATGAATAAATAAAATAAATGTATTTTGATCATCTAAAACTTAAAAATTAATAAATATTTTTAAAAATGTAATCCAATCTAAAAGTGGGCAAATTATCTGACCAATTTTTCATAGAAAATACAAATAGCTGATAAAATGTGGACTCTAACAAGCCTTCAGGGACATGTGAATCAAATCCACAGTGAGATATTATCTCACTGCAGTTAGAGACCATTGGCCAAGAGGGGAAAAAACTAATTAATGCTCATGAAGATGTGGAGGAAAATAATTTGCACACTGTTGGTAGTTGTAAATTTGTGCAGCCATTGTGGAAAACTGAAGTTACACATCCTGCTTAATTTTAACCTAAAAAAAACGACTCTGTGAATTCACTAAATTTTATGATGTAACATAACAAATTGAAAAAAACATAAATTACAATGACTTAGTGTTCTCCCAATGAGAAGGAAATAATAGAATATACTAAAAAGACAAAATATGTATTAACATGACCACTGTGGAACTGTATCTTAAAACTACTTTCTGAATAACACCAAATGTTCTAATCATCATTCATAAAATCTCTGAACAGGTGATTAAGTAGTGTTTTTATAACATTCAAATCAGTTATATTAGGTATTACATGAGAAAAAAGAAAGGAGAACAATGAAAATTTGGAGAAATGAGATCATTGTACCTAAAATAGGTTTTGTCTTTTTTTATTTCTTTAGGTATCTGAGGTTTCTAGTTTACTACTAAATCATCACCAATCTTGAAATTCTTTCAGTTGAATGATTCCCTTTTCTTCTAAAAACTGGCATAAGAAAACACATGCACACACACAGTGCCATGAGATTTACAGTAAGATTATAATATTTGTATAATTAAGTCAATATGAATCAAACCTTTGTTTTGTAGACGTTTTGTTAATACACAGAAGTGACACATGGAAAAAATACTATAGGATAAAATTTAAGATACAGAAGTCTGGATTTATTGGCATTTCTATTTCTCTCCCATAACAGTCTTAATTTACAACTAAATACAAAAAGAGAAATATTTAAAATACAATTTTTGATAATATTTGCCACATAATTTGAAGCTTAATTATACTTCCTAAATGGTGTAATAACCATATATATCCAATAACATCTTCTATTATCTGTTACCTATAACCTTTAGGAAAGCAAAATTCTTTTATGCCTGGCAGAATAACATGTGACTCACTATATGACAGTGTTAACACATTGAAAAGCATTCACTTTATTTTATATGAAATACTTTGCTCATATTATGCATGAATGTTAACTATTTCAAATTCCATCATGAAGTCTTTAGAAAAATACAGATTGAATATTTCATTATAATTTCTTCAACTTTCAGGACTGAGTATATTTATGTAATCTTTAATTTATAAGTTGATGTCTTTTAGAAATGTGCTACCACACTATTCTGATATCTGAGGATTTACATCAACTAATGAAGTCCAGTAAATTTTAATCAACAGTTAAAGGCAATGCTACTTTCTCCTTTTACAGAATTTCTCTCCATTAATAATTCTCATTTACATCTAGATATAAAGACTTTGCTATAATTTTCTCATTAGTCAAGATTTGATCTCCATTATAAACATTTTGCTGTTATATAAGGCATATATTTTGGACAAAGGTCTTTCCACAGACACTTCGTTCATGAGGTTTTGATACAATATAAATTTTCTGATGTAGAACAAAGTATGAAGTTTGATAGTCATTGACACATTATCTTTTTGTTCATTGTAAATGAACCTTTATCCATTTATATATGATGCTGAGAATCGAACCCAGTGCCTCACACAATAGGCAAGCGCTCCACCACTGAGCTACAACCCCAGCCCCCTGACACATTATTTTTTTATAGTTTCTGTACTATGAATTCTCTGATGTTGAGGAAGATGTGAACAACTACTAGCCACATTCCCTACGTTTGCATGGTCCCCTCCAGGATGAATCCCTGATGTTGAGTAAGGATTTAGTTTTGATTAAACACTTTCAAACAACATTTTCATTTGGAGTGCCTCTCTCCGCTATGAGTCCTGTGGTGGCGAGTTAGGGTTGGACAAGACTTAAAGGCTTTGCCACATTCTTTACATTTGTAAGGCTTCTCTCCTGTATGGATCCTCTGATGCTGAGTAAGGGTTGAGGTTTGGTTAAAAGCTTTGCCACATTCTTTACATTTGTAGGGCTTCTCTCCTGTATGAATTCTACGGTGACTAATAAGGTGTGAGTTTATATTAAATGCTTTGCCACAGTCTTTACATTTGTAGGGCTTCTCTCCTGTATGAATTCTACGGTGACCAATAAGGTTTGAGTTTTGAGTGAAAGCTTTGCCACAGTCTTTACATTTATAGGGCTTCTCTCCAGTATGAACTCTCTGGTGTTGAGTAAGGTGTGAGCTTCGTTTAAAAGCTTTGCCACACTCCTGACATTCATAGGGCTTCTCTCCAGTATGAATTTTCTGGTGCTTATTAAGGTGTGAAGTTCTAATGAAAGTCTTGCCACATTCTTTGCATTTGTAGGGTTTCTGTCCAGTATGAATCCAGTGGTGTTGAGTAAGTGTTAGAGAATCCCTAAAGGCTTTGCCACATTCATTACATTTGTACGGTCTCTCTCCACTATGAATTTTATGGTGTTGAGTAAGCGTTGCAATTTGTTTAAAAGCTTTACCACATTCTTTACACTTGTAGGGCTTCTCCCCAGTATGAATCCTGTGGTGTTGAATAAGGTGTGAACAATCCTTAAAAGCTTTGCCACATTTCTTACATTTATAAGGTCTCTCTCCAGTATGGATCCTCTGATGTTGAGTAAGGTTTGAGTTTCGATTAAAAGCTTTACCACATTCTTTGCATACGTAGGGTTTCTCTCCAGTATGAATCCTCTGGTGTTGAGTAAGGGCTGAACAGTCTTTAAAGGGTTTGCCGCATTCTTTACATTTGTAGGGCTTCTCTCCAGTATGAATTCTATGGTGTTTAATAAGGTGTGAACACTCCTTAAAAGCTTTGCCACATTTTCTACATTTGTACGGTCTCTCTCCAGTATGGATCCTCCGGTGCTGAGTAAGGTTTGAGTTTCGATTAAAAGCTTTGCCACATTCTTTGCACTTGAAAGGTTTCTCTCCAGTATGAATCATCCGGTGTTGAGTAAGGGTTGAGGTTTGATTAAAAGCTCTGCCACAGTCTTTACATTTGTAGGGCTTCTCTCCAGTATGAATTCTCTGGTGTTTAATAAGGTGTGAGCTTATATTAAATGCTTTGCCACAGTCTTTACATTTGTATGGCATCACTCCAGTTTGAATTCTCTGGTGATTAATATGATTTGAGCTTTGTTTGAAAGCTTTGACACATTCATTAAATGTGTAGGGCTCCTCTCCAGTATGAATTCTTCTGTGTTGAGTAAGGCTTGAAATTTTCTTTGAAGTCCTTTCACATTCTTTACATGTGTAAGGTTTGTCTTCAATATTGATATTAACTTTTGAGCTCTGATGACAGACTTTCCCATGTTTATTAACTTTGCAAAGGTTCTTTGTAAAATGAACACACTGATGTTTTCCATGATTTGAACCAAGGCTAATATTTTCATGAGTTTCACTGCATTCATAATTTTTTTCACCAATATACATACACTGGTAATTACATAGGGTAGAGACTTGGCTAAAGTTCTTGGAGGTTTTATTATTAACATTTAAAACTTTCCAAATATCTTTATCTGAATTTTGATTATGCAATAATGGGGAAGCATGAACCTCCCCTCTTTGATTAAAACTGTATATTTTGGCACAAGGAGGAACAATTTGTTGTTGATTGCAAAATAGCAGACTTTTTGTGAAGTAACACACAACATGATCACATTCAGAAATTTGTTCTTTATTTTTAACTCTCTTATCTATATAAATGTTTGAGTCAAAGTTTAAATCAATGCTGCAATTGAAATTGTTCATGTTGTTAACTGAAGCTTGGGACAGACTCCATTTCAGACTTTCCAAATTTCCTTTCAGAGGGAAGATATGGTTCAAAAACTGCTGTGGATATGTATTTAGAAACACAGAGAGCTCCTCAAAAGTGACTGGAATAAATTGAGCTGTTTTCTGAGATGCTATATGTTCTTGATGTCTGCTGACATTGACATTTTCATCATGGATAGTCATCAAACATTTGTTATGCTCATTATGACAAGATTTCGGAACTTCACTCTCTCTGACACTTTCCCAGTCTTTCCTTAGATGTAAATTTTCAATACCTTGACTTCCATGTCTTCCCTTGATCACTTTTTGAGATAAATGTTCTGGCAAAAAGTCTTGGACTTGATGAGAATATACAGCTGAAAGAAACAAAAATAATCAATTATTTCACTTTCTAGACTGGTGAATATAATTTGCAAATATATGAAATTATACAAAGGTGGGACATCAATAAGGTATGTCCCACCTTCATATAGTAAACCCATGACTTTCATTATTCCAGAGATATGTGAACTTCAAAACCATATTCTGAAAGAACTGATCTGTAAGAATCTTCAAAAGTGCCCGAGACTTCACAGCGGCACAGATGAGCACATCGCTACAGAGACATGCAGTAGACGGAGGAAAGGGTTATTTTTATCACCCACAGCATTTCAACTCAACTGTGCAATTAGGCAAAGAATATATCACGTACAACATTCCGACTCAACTGTGCAACTAGGGACAAAATAGCAATACTTTCTCTCTCAGTAAGAAAAAGGAACAGAAAAGCCTGCAAATATTTCTGACTTTATTGGGGACTTTCTAAACACTACTTTTTGTCTATATAGAGACTTGGAGCTAAAAGGTAGATTTTGGATGACAGTACCCCAGAAACTCAATAGAGCAGAAGAACACATGGACTTTTAAGAAGAAATATGAGCGAACTTTTATGATGGGAAACATACATATATACTTCTGGAGAAATATTCTGAAAAGAAAATTGAGAGGAAACAACAATCTCATAGAGCAGATATCAATATCACCTAGCCAAAGCTAACCCATAGGGATCAACCAAAATGACTTGCTTTATATTTGTTTCAATTTTTTCTATTTATTAATTTCACTGACAAGTCAACCTTTATATACTTACCATGTACATCATGTTTTAAAGTATATATACACATACATGGTAAAATGACTAAATCTAACACATGCATTATTTTGTATAATTAGCATTTTTGTTATTAGAAAACTTTACGTCCATTCTAGTAGCACTTCCTAGGCACACATTACACTACCCGGGCATGGTGGTGCACAACTATAATCCCAGTGACAGCTGTAATCCCAGTGGCTCAAGTGGCTGAGGCAGGAGGATAGCAAGTTCAAGATCAGCCTCTGCAACTAGGGAGACCAGGTCTCTAAATAAATAAATGAATGGGTTGGGGATGTAGCTCAGAGGCTATCACTGATACAATTCTCAGTAGCAAAAGTAAAATAAAATAGCATTCACCCTTTGTAAAGTAGAACTCTTGACTTATTTACACCCATTAAGATGAAATCTTGCATCTATGACTAACATTACAATCCCCTAAGTCCCATGCCCTGGTAACCACCATTTTATGTGACATTTGAGTTCTACTTTGTCAGTTTCTATGTGAGTCTACTAGTGCAGAAACTGACCTTCTGCCTTATTTCTTTTCTCCTTTTCTTGGGGGAGAAATGAGGAAGGGGGGTACTTGTGATCGAACCCAAAGTTTCTTTACCACTGAGCTATATTTGCAGTCCCCCACCTTTTAAATGTGTGTGTGTGTGTGTGTGTGTGTGTGTGTGTGTGTGTGTGTATGTATTTTTTGAGACCAGGTCTCATTAGCTGCTGAGACTCATCTCAAATGTGCATTCCTCTAGTCTCAGCCTCAACCAATGAGGATTTCAGGAATGTGTCATTTCATCTAGCCTATTTTTTGTGTATTTAATAACTTTAATACTCCTTTCCCAAATGATATTAATAATCTACTGTTGGCTGATTTCCAAGTGAAAAATGTCCAGTGAAAAGTAACAGAGAACACAAAGAAAAAGTGAAAAATGACTCCATCAAAGTAACAAAATAAAAGAGTGGGAATTGACCATTAGGAAACTATTATAGATAACCTACAGAACACTAAGTAGCCATTTGAAAATGTTCAACAACTAAACCAGAACAATAGGAAAAATAAACGAAATTCTGACAAAAAAATTCCAACATAAGCAAGTAGAAACTGTGTAATAGAATTCCTTAAGAAATAATGTTTGAGGGCTGGAGTTTAGCTCAGTGGTAGAGCACTTGCCTAGCACGTGGAATGGACTGTTTGATCCTCAACACCACATAAAAATAAATAAAATAAAGGCATTATGTCCATCTACAACTAAAAATATTTTTAAAGAGTTTGAGAAATTAGAAATACAAAAAAAAAAAGATATCCAACTTTAAGAATTTCAATCATCTCTAGAAAAATGCAAAAGATTGAATATAAAGCACATTATACTCAAAGTGTCAAAGTCACAAAGAAAATTTTGAAAGGACCAAGATAAAAGAGGTTTGTCAGAAGTCTTCCAGAAAAGAATAGGGGAATACAGTCAAAAGGGTGAAGAAACAGAACTAGGAATCAAGAATACTATATCCAGAAATATCATGCTTCAAAGGTGAAAATAAAGACTTTTAAGATATGCAAATACTCAAAAAGTTCCTTACCTCTAGACCTGGTCCTACAAGAAATACTAAAGGAAATCCTTCCCATTAGAAATAAAATAAACCTACACAACAACACAAATAATTTGAAATTTAACAATTTTGCTACAGAATTTAAAAGACAAAAGCACAAAATTATCATACCTCTATTAATACATATGCCATTTCCAAACAGCTGTGACATCAATAACCTAACACTAAGAGAATATTTAAAGAAAATGATTATTATACAGTGTTGACATTAATTTATTATCACTTCAAAATACCATGCAAGCTTAAAGTGCTGTTTTGTATAATCAAAATATAATAAAAATAAATAAATAAGCACAGAAGATATAAGGGGAACAAGGGGAGAAACCAAAGCATGTCACTATAAAAATTAATGAACCACAAATTAAAGCAGTTAAGAAAAGTAGGAAAAGCAATTATAAGAAAAAAATAACTTAAAATGGCAATAGTAAGTGCTTCCTTTTCCGTAATATATTAAGTATAAATGAATTATTATTAGCCACTTTTTATAATGTATGACAAGATTAACAGGGTTAAGCCCCCAAATATTCAACTGAATACTATCTAGGACTATGTTGCATAGTATGTCATCTTTCAACTTTCCTGTCTATATTTTCAAAGATTGATGTTAGTTATACAAGATTTTTACTATTTTTGTAGTACCATAAAGAGTGGTCCCTTTTGTGGGGATCCGATCTAAATGACCACATCTTCCAGTCCTGAAACACCAGGCTCTGATCAGTCACTACATTTCGTGGTGACTTGGGCGTTGTCCCAGTTTGGATAGCAAAGCATGGCTCCAGGAGTAGGTGTCACCCAGTGGGGTTGAGTCCCACTCACCTATTCCTTTGTAACCCTACCCCTTGCCTCATTTGATGGCTTCTTCCCAATAAAAGGGTTCAGCATGTGCTCCTCTCTCTTCCCATGGACCCCTAAGGTGAGAGGAGCCATCACAGGACCCAAAGGAAAAGGTATTTCTCTGTCTCTGTAAATTATTTCCTGCAACCCAGTTCACCTGGAGTGACCTGAGTGTTTAGTCATGGAACTCAACAATTGGTGGCCCATACAGAGACTCCAGGGTGAATTTTAGAAATTTAGTGGATTTGGAATTTCTCTCCAGAAGTTAAGCATGCTTAGGATTTCAGAGTATTGTGGGCTGAACTGTAGAAAGTAAGTGAATTAGAAGAAACATCTGTGACGTTAAACTTTTTTAACATCTGGGAATATTTCATCTTTATTTTTTATTTATTTATATATTTTTTTTTGGAGAGAGGGAGAGAGAGAAAGAGAGAGAATTTTAATATTTATTTTTTAGTTTTTGGCGGACACAACATCTTGGTATGTGGTGCTGAGAATCGAACCTGGGCCGCACGCATGCCAGGTGAACGCGCTACCGCTTGAGCCACATCCCCAGCCCATATTTCATCTTTAGAAAGATAAAAAATTTTATTTTTGCAATTCTAGAGACTGTAGTTCTCTCCCATGGGAAAAGCACTTTTGTGTACCTTTTTGGATTGTTTTTGTAAATCTTTATATTTTAAAATATTAGGTATTAGGAGTTACATGCTAAAAACCTGTGCTTGGAAAGTATAAGAGAGAAAAACAAAGAACTTTTTGTGGTGAGACTTAACACAGGAGATATTCTACTTCTAGAGAGGTATATTTGTTTTTCTGTTGTTTTTTAAAGGTACTCAAACAATTTATATTGCACTTTTGTGCCGAATTCTTGTCCTACTGGATGAGAATGGCTACAACTCAGCCCCTGTGGACAAAAGACTTTAGCCGCTGTTCCCTATGGGGTCTGTAACTAGACCCACCGCCATCAGTGCTTTTAACCCTGAAACCATCTGGCCTGGGTGCCAAACAGGCAAGGTGTTAGACTGCCCTACGATCTGATAGTAACGCTGGTGTCTGCTGTGAAACTCACCTTTAAAGTGCCCACGTGCTACAAGGGAAAGTACAAAAGACAGAAGGACACACACTGCAAGCACAGGTTGAAGAGACAAGGCAAACCACTCCCTCAGAAGGGAAATGCAAACAAACCAGATGGAATGCAACTGGCTCCAGAAGCCTTTGCCCCAACAATGGGCAGCTGGCTCCATGCGATTTTCAACACCTGGCTACTGCCCAAAGCCTAGCCAGCCCCGCAGGCTTCCTGGTCCCACCTCCCATGTTTTCACAGGCTTCCCATTGGTCCTTCTAATGTCACTCAGACAGGACTTCTGGTCCCGCCTCCCAGCCACTAACCTGTACTTCCTGTTTCCCACAGACCTGCTACTGAAACTACACAGAGCCTGCATTTTTAAGAATGCCCACCTGTAAATGCTAATGAAAAGTATCTTTTTCAGACAAAATCTAATTCCTCAGGTTGCTAGTTGCAGCCCTAAGCCTGACTTGCTCTCAAACCTAAAAATAACTTGATTTTTTATCCCTCAACACCTTTGTTTAAGACCCTTCCTTTTCCTCTCTATGGTAATATTACTAAATAATGTTCTATTGATGAGAGGTATCAAACATATGCTTCTTTGTATTTTGTTTTCAATTTTAAAGGCTATGAGGATGCATTTGCTTGTCCCAGGAACAAAAGCTGGCAATGTTTCTGTGATAATCAAGAAATCCTTATTCTCATTCCTGAATATAAAA